TTTTTGTAGTTATTACTCATAAAAATATGCAATTTATGGTAGCATGTAATGGGTGTGTTATTTTTATGACTAGGTGAATTAATAAATATTAAAAACTTTTCAGTTTAAATTTCTATATGAAATCCATCAGACAGCTATACCCCACTAAATGAAGCTCTTTGGGGTCCTCACTAACTGGAAGACTATAAAGGGTGCTGACCTCTTCTGCTTGAGCAAAGCTGCTCGACAGGAAGGAGACATCACTCTAGGGTGTGCCTGTGCCAGGTATGAGTTACAAGTTAAAAGTCTTTGTGGAGGGTCTTTCCAGAGCAGTGTTCTCAATAGCAGGCCACTTTGCCCTCCAGGAGGCATTCGGCAATGTCTGGAGTCACTTTTGGTTGTCACACTGGAGGAAGGGGGTAGGTTCTACTGGCATTTTCTGGGGAAGGCCAAGAAACTTCCTACGGAGCACAGGACCATGGGGAAGCACCAGCCCCACACAGGTTACTGGGGGGTGGGATGCCTAGCCCAGAGTAGCAGATCTCACGGGAGGCACCCAGGGTCTACTAAGTGTCCAGCTTGTAAGCAGAACCGGAGTGGGTGCTAGAAAGGGAACAGCTCAGAAAAGAACTGCTTCCCCATTGCCCCCAAGGAGGTAAGCTCCAGGCTCCCCTGCTGTGAACTCCAATGCCTTCCCATCCCCTGACCATCTTCTCTGCAGAGCCTCCTCTTTCCTTAACAAAGCTGCTGGGGACAGTCAAGACATGACAATTAAAAGTGGGGACTTTGCCCTGGCCGGTTTGGCTCAGCAGTTGGAGCGAGGGACCTGGAACCAAAGGGTCCTGGGTTCAGTTCTGGTCAAGGGCAGGTACCTGGGTTGCAGGTTTAATCCCCCGGTGCTGTTGGGGTCCTGAGGGAGGCAACCAATTGGCATGTCTTTCTCACATCGATGTGTCTCTCTCTCTTCCTCCCTTACTCCCTTCCACTCTATCGAAATCAATAGAGAAATCTCTTCGGGTAAAGATTAACAACAACAAAAAAAGTGGGGAATTCCATTTCCTATATAATGATTGCACATGAATTTCAAAAAATGTTAAAGCACTATTCCTTGGGTCATCTTTGAGTTTCTCTACAGTCCAGTCTAGGGTTGTAAGGGAATAAGTTAGGAAGAGAATGGTAGAAACTGTGTTGTAGGAGGTCCCAAGGAACCGAATTCAGAATTGAGCCTACAGAGAGTGGCTTTACGTGTTCTGGGAGAGGGGAGTCAGAGAACCTCCTCTCCTGGGGTGATAATCACAGCTGCCTCCCCAGAAAACACACCTGCCGACAAAACGACTTTCTGTGTCTTCTTCCACCCTGGTTAAAATCCTGCTACAGAGACAAGTGACTAGAGGGTCAAAAAGGTTTTCTTGAAAACTTATTTTCAAATATATATATATTTTGGTATGTGCACCTAGTGGGAACCAAAACCCGGGACTCTCTGGTCCGCAGGCCGATGCTCCAACTGCTGAGCCAAACCGGCCAGGGCTGAAAACTTACTTTCCATAAAAATGTTATTTATGTTATGTAATGGGTATCAGTATTAGATGAGCTAATAGATATTTTCAAATTTTCAGTTTAATTTCCAAAATATGACTCTATCCCCTACACTATGGGACCTAAGCTAGCCTGGCTCTGTCTCTGAGACACCAGGGGGGTGGCAGTAAAGGGACGGGTTATAAACAGAAAGAAGTTATTGCTAAAGGTAGGTGTCAAAATGAGCTATCGAGCTGGGAGAATGGATTGTTCAGATTTCTTTACAGCAACAGATATTACGTAAGAGTTGCTGTAGAAACTTTCAAACAAAAACTAAGCTGAGGCAGGATATGTAAAATGCATGACCAGAGAACAAACTTAGACAACCTTTAATGTGCTTAAGACAAATCATTTCACAAAAAGCATGAACACTTTTTAAATGGTAATTATGGGCACAGTACACAAATTAAAAAACAAAAAAACACCATCTCATGGTCTGATCCTCCAAAACTGCCTTTAGGACTCTCTGAGCAATTTATTAAGATTCTAAATAGTCCTAAGATGTCTCGCATCTGTCTGCACAGATGCGAGTGTTACACCAAGAACAGCTGCTCAAAGACGAGTTCCTCCGTCAGCCTCCAGAGCATCCCAGTTCAAGTGGCCCGTGAGCCCATTTGTGGCCTCACTCCTTAAAAGTGTGCCATGAAATGAACCAGCAGTTAGGTACTGGGCAAAAACTTTTATTTCCAGGACACGTGTGGATAAACGAGTCAAATGTTAACATTCTATTTGGAAGAGAAAAGAAAAAAGAAAAATGTACCAGTACATATTATTCAAGAAACAAAAATTTCTAGAAAAAGGCAAATGCTGCACAGCAGCAGGTATGACTGGTATTTTGTTACACTGAAAGATATATCCTGCCACACATATTGCAGGGAAAACTTCTTTCAAGAGGAGTCCCACCTAGTCCCACACAGTACATATGGCCAAATCTGAAATTCACCAAGTCATTTAAGAGATGAGGAAACAGGGCCACAGAAGTTAGGTCACTGATTGCAGCCATGAGAGGTCAGCGTTTTCATCATCAACCCTCAGGTTGAAATGCTTCCTCTATACCACTCTATCCTTTATTTCAGGACTTCATTTCCTTACTAAAAACCCAGGCCATCAAATGTTCCTTGTTTGAATTAAAAAGTGTTTGGCAATGTAAGCCACTGGCTCCTTTTCCTGCGAGGCTAAATTATAGCCAGGACTGCAGTGTCAGGCCCTTCCAAAACGCACAGCTATATAGTAGGAACTCAACTGTAGGCCACGTTCTGGGACATGTTCTCTGTGGGGATCATACCCAAACCTGGCCAACTCACCCTGGCCGGGCACCTGTGCTGCATCTCTCTCGGGTTCTGTAGCCCCAAATGTGAGATCCATCCTAATAGAGGTGCGTTCACAGGATAAGAGGATGTGATATTAAAAAGGTTTGAACAGCAACATGGGAATAACAAACCGATTTGAATTGTTCAGGTTAAAATATTCAAGTTCAGGGGTAATACTGAGAGGCAGGAGGAAAAAAGTGTGCAGTAATGGCTTAATGCACCTGCCTGAGTCAATCATGTTTGCTAAGTGGGCGGAACTCGACATGAAGAAGCGAGACGAAGACTAAGGGGAGAAAACAACAATAAAAAAGTAAGGTTCGACTCAAAGTTCAGATGAACTAAGTGCCTTAATTTATATCCCTGCAAAATAATTTACACAGTCATCTGCCTGGTGTCATGCTTAACGTGCCATGTTGCCTCCTTATGAGGAAGTAGTGAAGGGCCCAGTATTTCAGTATTTTTCAAGGGTAATTTCAAGCTCCGTAGCTCCAGCTCTTAAGACAGAGCGGTAGTGCCAGAAAAATACAAAAATACTGGGGCATTACATCAGACACAGTGGGCCACACCTCAAGTCTTTAGCAACTGACAGAAACCCAACCCACCTTAAAAACATGCATTTTACATATCAGTGGTTTTGTTATCTTTCAATTACTGATGGATTTTTCAGGTCCGAACATAACATCATCCATCCTTATAGCAAGGTTATTTCCGCTAAAACAGGAATAAATGAACCATACCCGTTGATGATACTTCTTTGTGGTAAGAACAGTGAGAGGAGCAGGTACGTGAGCAAGAAAAGCTTGGGGAGCACTAGGAAGTCTTAGCAGTTTTAATAAAGATCCACAAACTAATAAAAAGAAAAAAGCATACACCTTTTTGGAAACACTAAATTTCACTGAAGTCAATTTAGTCAAAAGAGTGACACGGAAGTAAGCAGGTCAAATGTGAGAAGGCCCCAGTAAAACTTGATTGTCTGCTGTAAGGAAAGGGCAGGAAAAGACTGGCACAACCACCCCCTGACTACCGATAGCTGAGGAATCTTTAGGACTTCTGCTTTTTGCTTTGGGGAAGGCAACAGATTTGCAGGACTAAACCACCTGCAGAAGGCTGAGGATGCACCCACTGATACAAAGATAACCTGGGGCTGACAGAAAGAAAAGACCATTGCACAGACAATGGCCACACAGAACTGAACTCATACTAATGTGGCGCACAGGAAGGGGTCAGACACTTGTAAATTAACGTCATCTGTGATAAGACCAGAGCCCTCCAGGATCCGGCTCTGCAGGAGAACCAGAACACTACATCAAGCAGTTTCTCTGCTCCCCGTGATTCAAAAGGGCCTATTAGCTCTGCCCGGCTCCAGACAGCTCCTGGACACTTAGCCTGAAGTGCTCCAGTTCAACAACTAGTCACAAGGAAGAAAAGGCGAAGCCAGAAGCTGGCTCTGCAAATGCTCTCAAAGCACAACGGCGTCAGGGACGACATCAACCCCACCGGGTAGACACAATCCCCACCGGATAGACACAATCCTCACCGGGCATTCCAGCTGGTCTGCAAAGAGCCCAAAGTCAGAAAGCAAACAAGTCAGAATTGGCCAATACAGACAGAAAGAAAATGTGAAAGATAGAAGACTGTACAAAAATACCCAAACGACATAAGCCAAAATATACCAACACTGTTAGGGAAAGAGGCTAAGGGGATCAGACATCAAAGAGCTGGCCCAGGAAACCAGCAGCGCCCAGCACAGCAAGGGTGGCAGAAGGAGAAAGGGCCACTGACAGGGACCTGGTGCTCGCAAAGGAAGGAAGGGGCAGGATGAAAGCTAACGGGAACATGGACTCCGCTGGACAGATCCCGTGAAACCAGTCCCTCCCAGACAGCTGCGAGATTTGAAGTAGGGGAATGAATCTGGAAATACCACCAGCACAGAGACCCACGACTATCACAGAAACATTCATATTTACCCAGAGTAGAATAATAAAACCCAAATAACTAAAAGTTAGGACGATGCGAAACACTAGAAAAACAATCCCACAGAGGGGAAAACCCTAGGTTTTATCAGCCTCATTTTTCCTACCCGAAGTTCAAAGCTGTTCACGAAAAAGCGGAAAGTGAAAATTTGAGAATACGTACCTCTGGTTCCACTATGTCTTGTCCTTCTCTTGAATTTTTCCCACTTTTCCCTGCTTTTGGTATCTCCTGGGAAACATCAAGCAGAATTAATTAGGCTTCTCCAAGTTTTAGACTGCTAAACAGCAGATAAATCAAAATGCAGTTTTAACGCTGATTTGTACAATTTAAGACTTATGATAGTTTCAATCAATGCCATCAAGAAAGTCTCCAATCACACTGTCTAGTCAGAGAGAAATATATCGCGACGCCACCCTCCCCCACCAACTCAAATTCCCCTTGTTTGATGTGTTTGGGGTTGAAAACTTTAGGCAGAAACAGATAAAAGCACATTTATACAGTGCTGTGGGCATCTGGAAAGATCCACCTCACCTCGTTCTGCCCCCGGAGCGCAGCCCGGCGAAGGGGATTTCTGGGGTGACACCCAGACGCTCAGGGCCCCACCTGAAGCAGCACCCCTGCCATGCAAACGCAGCGCACACGCTCACAGCCACCCGCCGCCACCCGGGCGGCCCTCGGGAGAGCGGACCGTTCTTCATAAGCACTAAGCGGGGTCCATGCGCTCCCCTTCTCCCCGGCCGGGGTCCCTCTGAGGCGCCTGCAGCCCCCGCCCCGCAGCCCCTGCCCAGGTGTGCGAGGCTGGGTCAACCACCTCCGCGGCCGCACCTGCCCCCTCACGCCCACCGCGCGCGCTGCCCCGGGCGCCCACGCCGGCCGTCAGGACCCCCGCCCCGGCGCGACCCGCCCCCGCCCCCGCCCCCGGAGCGGGCAGAGCGGCGCCCCCAGAGCGCTCACGACCCCGGCGTCGGGGGTCAGGGCGAAGGACCCCGAGCCCCGCCGCGCCCCGCTCCCGGGCAGCTCGCCGCCGCCTTCCGCGCGGACCCTTCTCCTCCCCGCCGGTCCGTCCCGTGGCCCGCGCCCCCACTCACTTTCTCCTTCTTGTTTTTATTCGGCATGGCTGGTGCGGGCCGCCGCCGCCGCCGCCCCTGCTGCCGGCCCCCCGCAGCAGCAGCACCCCCGCCCCAGCCGTCGCGCCCTCCCGGCCGCCGCCGCCGCCGCCGCCGCTGCCCGGGGACTGAGCGGTTCGCTCACTCGCGCTTCCCCTTTTCCAGGCTCCCAGAGGCTGCGGCAGCCGCGGCGGCGGCGGCGGCGTCTCTCCGCCCCTCCCCCGGACCGCCCCTCCCCTTCCCCGGCCGCCCCGCCCCTACCCCAGCCCGCCGCTACTGCGCCGCCCACCCCGCCCCCAGGCAGGCTCCGCCCCGCCGCCCGCCAGGCGCCCTGCCATTGGCTGAAGCGCCCTCACGTGCCTTAACGCTCTCCCGCATCCCGGCTCCGGGCCTTGCCCCCCTCTCCTCTGCCGCGCTCTGGCTCACGTCAGCCTCAGGCCGGGTCGTAGTGGAGCGGCAGCAAGGTTCCGGCCGGGGGACCTGAGCCGAGTCAGAGGAGGGGGCGTGGGGCTGCGACTGCGGCGGTGGGCTGGTGCCCACGGTGGAGGTGCGGGACGGAGAGGGCAAGTGAGGCGTGGAAACGGCACATTTGAAACGGATGGCAACAACTGGTGCAGCCTACGGGGCGCGGACCGCCGCGAACGGCGGCCTCCCGGCTTCGTCACCTCAGCGCCGCGGTGCTGGCCGAACTTAAAAGCGCCCGCACGCCAGGGCGCGCGTCGGCTAGGAAGCCCGGAAGTCGCGCGGACGGCTGTTTCTCTGGGCCCCGCTAGGCCCCGCCCACCGGTGCTTGTCCCGCCTCCTCCAGCGTCAGTCACGCCCACCAGCCCCGGGCCCAGCTCCTCCAGCGTAGGCCCCGCCCACCGGTGCCCATCCAGAGGCTCTAGCTGCACCAGTGGGCTTTTATTTTATTCTTTAATTTGGCTTGATCAAAAACTATGTGAGGAAACCTCCGCATTAGGAACACCAGTCACGTGATGCTGCTACCTCGCTAATAACTGGGGGGATGAGTTTACCAAGGGAAGGCTAACTTTGATATACATACTGCTTCCACAGTCTGTCCAGTGCCAAGACCCATTGCAGACCCCATGGCGGGCATGGCGACTGAAGAAGTAGGCACGAGGCAGTAAGACTCCAGCAGTAAACGGATTTCACGTGTGAGAAGCACTGGCGCAGCACCGCGATGATTAAGGAGCCGGATCTTCTTCACTGGGCGCTTGGAAATCATGGCGTTCTCTTAGGCCGCAGTTTTCACTTTTAATTGCAAGTTGCCAGGCAAAGCATTTTCGGTTTTTCTGTGCTGCTCTGCGAGGAGAAAGCTAACAGAAAAGGGAAAAAAGATCTAAGGTAGAGAGTGTCGTGGGAGGTCCTGAAAGTAAGTTCTGCCTGCAGGTGTGTAAATGTGCACTTTTAGAGGAATAATTACCGGTAAACTGCACAACCTCAAACAGTTGTATGTATAGAAGAAGTGGTTTTTGATTAGTCTTTTAAGTGGGTTAATAGTTTCTCCAAAACAAGTAGTTAAAATAGGACATGCAGAGCCATGCCCTAGTTAATTTAATAATATTTCATTAAAAAAATAAAACACATGCTATCAATGTAATAAACCCAGTATAAATCCATATAAAAAAGGAGTAGTTCAAAAACTATTAGTTTATGACCACGAAGCTCTAAGGGGGCTGGGAGCTTCTTGAGACAAGTCCCATGCCTTCAATACCCTTGTATCACAGCCCCTGATGCAGCCCTTCCTCCCTTCCTTCCTTCTCTCCTTCCTTCCTTCATCAGACATTTGCTGGATGCCTACAATGTGCAAAGCATGGTGCAAGGGATCCTGTGGTGCACAAGGCACTACCCTTGTCTTCAAGCACATCACATCCCGGGGATGGAAGGAAACAAGAACACCAGCAATCAGAAGAACATGACATGTGGCAAGTCGACATGCAGGGTGAGTGAGGGTGGTCTGCCTTGGAAGCAGTAAAGAGCACTGCACAGGAGTATTTTGTTATGGCCGGAAGAGATTAGAGTGAAGGAACAAAGGCTCCCGATCAAGACGGACTCTAGGAACCCTTACCAAGGAACTGGACTTCTTTTTGAATGCCATTCGAGGTCACTGAAGGACATTAAACTGGGAGTGACATGCTCACGTTTGCACTTTAGAAGATGTCCGTGGCAGGAACGTGGGGGTTAGGGATGAAGGTGGAGGCCAGGGGAGAAACCAGGATCTAGTTATGGTCCAGGTGTGTGCCGGTGAGACATCTCTGGCAGTAAGAGGAGGGAGGATCATAAATACCCAGGAGGTGGACTTACTCAGGCGGGAGAGAGCCAGAATGCAGGGTAAAAGGCAACACACATGACAAAGGGACTCCAGCAGATAGCACATTTTTGAGGGAATGGGATTTCACTCCTGGGACATGTTGAGGTTGAGCTGTGTCTGCCACTTGCCAGTCGAGGTGTCTTAGGTGCCGAATGGAAATACGGGTCTGTTACTTAGGACAGTGCCAGTGCATGTCGGGTTAGGTATTTATCAGGTCAATTTGAGTTTGAGGGGAAGTGTAGAGACAAGGTACCAGGAAAACTGCCTGGTCACCTACCAGCCAATGACTTGAAACCATAGTAGAGAGATTAGAACCAGCACCTCCACCTGGCACATGTGCTCCTCACTGGCCATTGGGCTGGTTTTCACTTGCCCACATTAGAGAGGGCCATCCCATAGCCAATGTCAGTTATGGAATGTTCACAGGGGACACTTGACAGGGTGCATAGCCCTGGTTGCTGTGGCATTTACAGGACCATTAACAACAGCCCTGGCCAGTTTGGCTCAGCAGTTAGAGCATCAGCCCGTGGACCAGAGAGGGCGGGGTTCAGTTCCTGCTAAGGGCATGTACCTTGTTTGCAGTTTGTCCCCAGTCCCAGTTGGGGTCGTGCGGGTGGCATCCAGTCGATATGTCTCACGTCGATATTTCTCTCTCTCTTCCTCCCTCTCTCCCTCCCGCTCTATCTAAAGATAAATGCAAAAATGTTCTTGGGTGAGGATAAAAAACAAAAAAACAACAGATGAAGCTCCAGCTCTCACAAGAAGGGATACAAAATGGGCTATCAGTGGGATAGAATGTGTGTTCATGCTCATGTTTGCATGTGTGTGCACACATGTACACATGTGCCTGCGGGCTACCTCTTCTGAGATGCCCCACCGTCCACGTTCTTAAAGACACTGCCCATATCACGCAGAACCCCCGTTTTTCAGACCCCTCACTCTTCTGGGACACTTTTCTGAGATAGTCCCTAGGAACCCAGCCATGCTTTTTCCATGTTTGGCTGCTCTGTACAGTGGAGTGCTTCCTCTATGCCTCTGAGGTGTCTCTGGGGGATCAGAGAGGTCCCCAGAGGACCTGGGCCTTTGGCAGCCACACTTGCAGACCCACCGAGCCCTGCTGCTTCACTCTGGGGAGCAGAAGTGGCCCAGCAAAGAAGGGCAGAGAAAATATGGCCCTGGACCCAGAATCAGCCGTAGTGCCCTTCCTGTGCCCACCCTCAGGAGCTCTTTCCACTTGCTTACCTTAAAAGATGCCTGTGACACAGCTGCCCACTCATGGTCTCCTCCGGGGCCACTTCAAACCCAGCCCTTCCTGCCGAGCTGCAGTTGTGGTCTCCTCGCCCCAGAGAAGCCTTCTCCTGGCTGTGTGTTTCCTGGTGCCTGGCGTCTGTGGATAAAACTGATTCCACTGTCCTTGCGGTTGGGCCCACGTCTCAGACTGTTGTCTGACCTCTTGCTGCTTCTCTTGGGCAGTCATCTCCCCCTCAGACTGGGGTGTGCTTACAAGCCCCCCTTCTCTGTCCACATCACCAGCCCCACCAGGCTCCCAGCCCCTGTGCCTCACCTCTCCTGGAAGGAGCATCCATGGCCTGGATTGGATAGTAAATTCTTCAAGATCACCCCTGAGACCTTCTCCACCCTAGAAGTTCAACTTGTCTACTCCCCCCATCTTTTCCCCATTTCATTTCCACATTTCTTATTGAATTTGGGCGTGTTTATTCAGCACTACACATTTGCCTGCAGATTTGGGGAGTAAATTTAAGTCTGATTACAGTGAAGTGACATCTCCATATAGAGGGTGCTGAGCCCAGTGCCTGGCCCATGGCACGCGCTCAGTGTGTTTAGTTGCCCTCCAGAGGACAGTGATTTGATGGGAGGTGATACTCATTCTGAGGATCCAAGGAAACACCCAGAAATCACCACTGCAAGGCCCAGGGGCACCCAGAGAGCTCTATTAGGGAAGAATAGCCTCTTGGCTGGCCCCTGAAGAGCTTTGATAAATGGCACCAGCCAGCCAGTCCCCACCGGCTGGGATAAACGCCATCGGTGCTGCAGCTCATGTCCGGAGTACTTTCTGAAAACGAAAAGGTGAGAAATCTATGAATGTTCTGAAACGGCAAGTTTCATAGATTATTGTTCTAAAACAATCTATGAAAGTTCTAGAAAAAGTTTTAAAAATGTTAATCTAAGAATTGAAGAAAAATGAGAAACAACACAATATAATTCTATGTCCGTGTGTATAGGGTGGATTACAATCCCTTTCTTTTTTCCTCCCAAATCCCTATGTCCAGTGGAGGGGCTAAGACAGGACAGAAATAACTTGGCCCAAGACGGAGAGATGTATAGCATAAGAGCATTAGCAGCCAGGATCAGGAGGTTTCAGAGGGAGGAGGGCACACCAGTGGGTGGCAGGCTGCAGAAAGGTTGCTGGAAGGCAAGGCCTTGATACACAGCTGCAGCAAGCATGCCAAATGTTGAGTTTGAGGTCTTGTCCTAAGTTTGGGGTTATTGCTTTTAACAGATGGCCCAGTCAGGAAGGTGTAACTGGAAGTAAATTATTGAAAAACCTATGAGTAGAGGCATGCAGAGGTCAAGCACGTGACCGAGGAGAGGAAAGCACACCAGCGCTGATGGCCTGGGCACTGGCCCATTCCTGTGCCTCACTGGGCAGAGGGAGGCAGTGGTGCTCCCAGGGTCTG